TTTTTTCAACGTTTTTTATTTTTGGGACAGAGAGAGACAGAGCATGAACGGGGGAGGGGCAGAGAGAGAGGGAGACACAGAATTGGAAACAGGCTCCAGGCTCTGAGCCATCAGCCCAGAGCCCGACGCGGGGCTCGAACTCACGGACCGCGAGATCGTGACCTGGCTGAAGTCGGACGCTTAACCGACTGCGCCACCCAGGCGCCCCAATAAATAAATTTTTAAAAGAAGAAGGAGAAGGAGAAAGAGAAGGCGAAGGAGAAGGCGAAGGCGGAGGCGAAGGCGGCACCTGGGTAGCTCAGTTGACTAAGCGTCTGGCTCTTGATTTCCGTTCAGGTCATGATCTCATAGGTTATGAGATCAAGCCCCACATCAGGCTCCATGTTGACAGGGCAGAGCCTGCTTGGTATTCTCTCTCTCTCTCTCTCTCTCTGTCTCTGTCTCTCCCTCCCCCCCCAATCTGTGCTTCCCCCACTCACATTCTCTTTCTTTCTCTCTCTCAAAATAAATAAGCTTTAAAATAAATAAATAAATTTTATTTTTTAAGTATAAAATGAGGATGATAATGCACTCACCTCAAACGGTGAAAAGATTTAGAACATGCTGTTTTTATGAGCTTCCTCAGCAGTTGAAATGAGAATCCTAGCTGCTCGCGTGAGAAAAGATACATTTCAGCGCCTGGATAATAGTAGGTGGTCATTTATTGTTCCAAATATGCTTTTCTTCACAAACAATACAAATAAATATAGAAATAAAATGAAATACAAAGGTAGAAACACCTGGAGCCCTTCACCTCATGAAGTCATACATGCTTTATTCTGTCTCTGTTCCCTCTGACCCCAGACTCGGTGAGGTCTGAGCTTTCTTTCGAGATTTCTGTCCTCCACCTGACCTTTTACTCTCTTGTCAGGGGACATGCTAGCAATACCTAACCTTGTAGCCATGGAGCTGAGCTGATTCACGGCTCCGGCAGACATCAGGGCTGAAAATGGCTGGTTTCGATTCCTGTCCTGTGTTCCCTCGGATTGGAATAGAAGACTGTTGCATATTTCCCATGGAGTTCCTGGGAAGAGACAGATCCTCGCCACTGCCAGACCCCACAACTGAGGTCAGGTGGGCCGAACTTCAAGACAAAATGACATCTCCGTGGTGGGAGACCAAAGGCAGAAAAAGAAACTGCTTGTCAAGCCCTACGTGCCATTCTGCCCCTGACACGTCCCCGCTTTTAGCATTGTGCTGTTCCTAGGCCGCAGCGTGGCTGCTGGGCCGCCATTCACTTCCGGGTCAGGCGGTGCGTTTAGGAAGTGAGCACATGTCAGGATTCCAGCCCCGCTTCCCCATTTATTAACCTTACTCCCCCCTCTAAGCTTGGTGAAGGCGCACTTGTCAATTCTTCTCTTCATCCACTCATTCAAAACCTCTGTCCTCCAGGCCGGGCCCCACGACTCGCTCCTCTGGGTGTCGGCAACACAGAGTGGAGGCCCGTGTTGCACGGGGTGAGGATTTCAAGGTTAGGATAGGCCAGGCTGTGCTGCCAGGACAAAGAAGCCCGGAGTTTCTGCGACTTCGCGCAAAAATGCCGCTGTCTTCTCACTCACGTGGGGTCTGACGTGAGCCTGGAGCCCCCTGCGCGGTGGACTTCAGGAACAGGCAGGAAGCTGCTGCCGGCATTCCCCCCACATGGGCTCCACCCTAGTCCCCCAGTCCCAGTCTGATCGCAGGGTGGCTCAGGCACGGGCAGGAGTCTGTGGACAGAGGATGGGGGGTGGGGGGCAGCCACAGGCCGTGACCAGCAAAAAATCGTGTAAAGTCAGAATTACCTTGAAGAGCCTTCTGAATGACTGCAAAGCACAGAACTGGGACACATTTTCACTCCTTTTCAGTGCCCATTATGCTACTTCTTAATAATCCAACAAAACCAATTTTCCTGTGCGCTCATGAACAGACCGCAGTTTCCCCAGCTAAGCACCAGATGAAACTTCTGACTCGCACTTGGGGGCCGGAGGGTATGACAACACATAGGAACACGAGAGCCGTGCTCAACGAGGCGAGAAGCTCGTGCCCAGACAGTCACTGGGGAAGGACCATCCAGTTCACCTTTCTCTTCTTGAACCTGCCTGGCAGGGCCGACAGTCGCCAAAGGGAATGGCCGGCTGGCTGGGTTGCCTGCACCATTGAAACCTCTCTGGGCTGTAAAGTGAACTCACCAAAGGGCACTGTGCACGTGATGCTGTGGGGGAAGCCAGACCTAAGCAGTGAGCAGAATAAGTGTTACGGATTTGGAGAAGTCTACTTGGGACGTAGCGAAAGCATAAGGGAACTACAGATGAGCTCCGTCTCCTTGAGCAAGTGGATGTTTGGGAAACTTGCATCATGGAGGTGACGGGAATCTCAAGATGAGCCACTGCTCTTCATGGGGAAGGGCATTGTGGGCAGTGAGACCAGTGTGAGCAGCGGCACGAAGCACCCCTCTCAGCGAGATCTGACCCAGAAGGTCAGAGAGATGGGGCATATGGATATGACCCACTTTGTTCCCCGGGAAGACGTAGCAGGGGCGTCAGATGAAATCGGGATAGAATGAGAGAAATCGAAAGAGGCTTAGGGATCCTCTGGGTCAGGGTATTCGAAACTTCGGTGAGTGGCCGATCTTTGCCATATCCCTGCACCGTCCTTACTGTTTCTTAGCATTTTTCTCTTAATCAACTCACTTTTGTGCATTCACTCCTACGTCCCAGTCTATCATGTGATAATATGCACGAGATAATGGGTTTTATGGTCATTTGAATTTATGCTAATTTTTAATATAGTTTAAGTCAGTAAGTGACTCTTTAACATAAAAACTGCCTGTCTTCCTTCCATGAGGAGTACACGTGTCACTTTGAGGAACTGTGATCTGGTACTTCCATTTCGAAAATAAAGAAACGAAAGCTGGGGAGGGGGATAATTTGCCAGGATCACACAGGAAATCAGTGGCAGGACTGGGTTCCCTATGCCACGCTAGCGACCCCTGCTGTTGATTTCCCAGTAGCGCCGAGCTTTATCTTGGATCTGAGAAGTTCTGCCCGGAATCAAGTCTCCTGAGTCCTGGGCCTTGTCTCAGAGGCAGCTGTCAGTTTTTCCTGCCTCCCTACCTCCCTGTGAAGTCTCGGGAGCTGTGATATTGAGGATCCCTGAAGACAGAACTCTTCCTCTCCTCCTAGAGCTATACACTCATTCTGTTAATGATGGAAGGAAGGACCATATTATTACCACAAAGACAAGAAACAACAAGTGTTGGCGAGGATGTGGAGAAAAGGGAACCCTCATGCACTGTTGGTGGGAATGCAACTTGGTGCAGCTGCTGTGGAAAACTGTAGGAAGGATCCTCAAAAAAATTGAAACCAGAAATATCCTATGACCGAATAATTCCACTATTGGGTATTTACCCAAAGACAACAAAAACACTAATTCAAAAAGATATATGCACTTCTATGTTTATTGCAGCATTATTTATAATAGCCAAGACATGGAAGCAACCTAAGTATCTATCAATAGACAAAGGGATGAGGAAAATATGGTGTATATACACAATGGAATATTAGCCATAAAAAAGGACGAGATCCTGCCATTTGTGAGAACATGGATGGACCTAATGGATATCATGCTAAGTGAAACAAGTCGGCAGAAAGACAACTACCATACGATTCCACTCGTAAGTGGAATCTAAAAAAGACAACGAAGAGAGCCCAAATGTCCATCGACTGATGAATGGATAAAGAAGATGTGGTATATATATATACAATGGACTATTACTGAGCCATCAAAAAAGAATGAAATCTTGCCATTTGGAACAACATGGACAGAACTAGAATGTATTCCACTAAGCGAAATAAGTCAGAGAAAGACAAATACCGTATGATTTCACTCGTGTGGAATTTAAGAAACAAAACAGATGAACGTATGGGAGGGGGGGTAGAGAAGAGAGGGAGACAAACCGTAAGAGACTCTTAATGATAGAGAACAAACTGAGGGTTGATGGAGGGAGGTGGGTGGGAGATGGGCTAGATGGGTGATGGGGATTAAGGAGGGCACTTGTTGGGATGAGCACTGGGTGTTGTATGGAAGTGATGAATCACTGAATTCTACTCCTAAAACCAATATTGCACCATATGTTAACTAAAATTTAATTTTTTTTAATTCTAACAAATAAATAAAATAACAACTAACAAATGAGTTAAGCAAAAACCAGAATCAGACCTTTAAATACAGAGAACAGAGGCTCCTGGGTGGCTCAGTCAGTTAAGCATCTGACTCTTGATTTTGGCTTAGGTCATGATCTCACCGTTTGTGGGTTCAAGCCCCGCATTGGGTTCTGCACTGGTGGCTCGGAGCCTGCTTGGGATTCTCTCTCTCCCCCTCCCCACCCTTCCCCTCCCCTGCTCACACATGTGCGTTCTCTCTCTCTCTTTCTGTCTCTTTCTCTCAAAAATAAATAAATAAACATTTAAAAAAATACAGAGAACAAACTGATGGTTGCCAGAGGGAAGGAGGTAGAGGGTTGGACAAAATGGGTCAAGGGGAGTGGAAGATACAGGCTTCCAGTGACGGAATGAATAAGTCACAGGAATAAAAGACAGCATAAGGAATATGGCCGACGACATTGTAATAGAGCTATAGCGGGACAGATGATAGCTACACTTGGGGTGAGCATAATGTAATGTGTAACCTTGCGGAATCACTATGTTGCACACCTGAAACTAATGCAATGTGTCAGCTATACTCAAATTTAAAAACAGAAAGAAAGAAAAAGGAAAGAATGACCGTATTACTGATCCCCTTTCATGGTGACGGGAGGTGAGGCTCAGGGAGGTACGTAACCCACCCACAGTCACAATGTTCATAAGCCCGGACTCCACCTCCAGCGTATCTGCCTCCAGCATGCATCCAGAGACTTCTCAGTGACCACCGCCCTTGTCCACTGCTTGCTCTCCCAGGAGCTCATCACCGCCTGGTACATTGGGTTCCTGACCCTCATCCTTTCTTCATTTCTTGTCTACCTGGTTGAGAAAGACGTGCCCGAGGTGGATGCACAGGGAGAAGAGATGAAGGAGGAATTCGAGACCTATGCAGATGCCCTCTGGTGGGGCCTGGTGAGTCACCATCTTGAAGGCCCCCCATGGGGACTGACTGTTAGAGACAGAGAGGTGGAGGGCGCGGCATGGGTGTGCTCCTAGGTGGCAGCGGCGTGCACGCACAGGTGCATGTACGTGCAATGGGCTTTTCCTTAGTGCTTACAAATGATGAGAGTAGTCAGCGCCCATCATCACCCAGGGACCTTGCTTCATTAGTTGTAGGCTGTTATCAGCTGAGCCGTGCATGTGCAAACAGACGCAGTGGCAGGTGCACACACGTGCACTCAGACCTTCAAACGCACCTGGAGACCCACAGCCCCGTACCCACCAGGGACACTTGTTACGAACACTAGCAGTTTCCGAAGGCCTACTTTGCTCCAGAGCATTGCTCTAAAGTCCTTCCTTGTATTAACATATTTTAAACACAATTTCTATTTTGAGTCCCTTTTTTTAAGTGGGGAAACTGAGGGGGCGACTGGGTGGCTCAGTTGGTTAAGCGTCGGCTCAGGTCAAACCACTTCGGCTCAGGTCATGAGCTCGCAGTTTGTGGATTCAAGCCTCACGTCGGGCTCCGTGCTGACCGTTCAGAGCCTGGAGCCTGCGTTGGATTCTGTGTGTGTGTCTCTCTCTCTCTGCCCCTCCCCTTCCTCTCAAAAATAAAGATTAAAAAGAAATTAAAATAAAATGGGGAAATGGAGGCATGAAGCGGTTAAGTATGTAATGAAGCCAAGACAGATCCCTGAGCCAGTTAGTGGTGGAACCTGGGATTTAAACTCAGGCAGTCGGGCTCCAGAGGCCACATGCTTAACCGCTCTGCTTTCCCGTTCTCCATATTCATAAGTATGTGTGCATGGTCAACTACACTTGTAAACACACCCAGGACTATACAACACCCATCGGCACAGACAAGTGCATACATACACGATATGTATAAACGCACTCATAGGCACGCATACATTGGGAAACATGGCACTACCCAAAATCACGCATATGTAAATATGCCAAGAATGCACATGCATGTGTTTGCAATTATTTGAAATGTTTGTTGGCTGATCGACTATAGGTAGGAAATCCGTAACTTAGAAACAGGTGTGGTCTCCAGGCTCCCACGTACTTACTTGGCACTTGGTACCTGGTCTCCCATGGGGGAAACATCCCCAGGCAGCACAAAAGGCCGACAGGTGGAGCTCAGCTGACTTCCCTCTCCCCGCGAAGGCTCATGTCTGACTTCTTCTCTCTTCAGATCACACTGGCTACCATTGGCTACGGAGACAAGACGCCCAAAACGTGGGAGGGCCGCCTGATTGCAGCCACCTTTTCCTTAATCGGCGTCTCCTTTTTTGCCCTTCCAGCGGTAAGTACCTTCAGTGTTTACCCTAGAGTGACACGCGGGACCCCCTCCGCCGCCCACCCGGCCCCAGCTGAACCTCCTAGGTGGACGCTAGCCCCTTAGACCCCCTCAAGTCCACGCGCCGGGCTGTTTCAAGTCCAGTCCCCAGGCTGCCTTCTCTAAACTCAGTGAGTCCCTCCCTCCTCTGGGCCTGACTCTGCAAAGGCATCTCTGACCCCATGCTGCCTCCCCCCCCCCCCCCCCCCCCCCCCGACCGCAGACTGTGAGCTCCCTGGGGGCTGAGATTGTATCTCCCACCCACGTTTTCCCCAGCGCCTTGCACGTGGCAGGTCCTTCGTCAATGTGAGCTCCCTTCCATTGTCCTGTCATTTCGTGTCCTGGCTTATGTAAAAACAATTCATTTCCCGCCAGAGTGAGTCTTGACCCGTGATAGAATAACCCACCAAAGCCCGGCGCCCATGAGCGTAACAGTAGCAACAGTCCTAGAAAGCACTTGTCGGACTTACCCTGTGCTGGAATCGTGCCAAATGCTTTACCTACGTCATGTCATTGAATCTTCATGACAACATCGTGAGTTTGGTGCGGTGTCTGTCGCCATTTTCCAGATGAGAAAACTGAGGCCCAATTAGGTCAGTCACGTTTCCACAGTCACAAGGCTCTTGGGTTGTGGGTTCTGTCTCTTAATCGTGAGGCTGGAAAGAAACTTCTTAGGGAAAAATCGCCCTTCCTCACCCCCCCACCCCCCACCCCGGTTCATCTCCCAGCCTTCCTCTTTAGCAATAGCCCTACCTTGTCTGTTTTTCCTAAGCTCTCTGACCTTGAGCATATGACCTTTGTGAATCTCAGTCTCCTCATGTAGAATAGGTTGGGGGCTGTGGGGGTGCCACATGGTCTCCTCTAACTTGAAAAGGGTGTGGCTTCTATCCATGTAATCCACGTGTGAGGCCGACCTGGACACCAGAACAGGTCACAATTCTGGGAACTTCCGGTAGAAGTCAGTCTTAAGGGACAATTCCAGCACTAAAATATTTTTATTATTTCTTTAACATTTACTTATTTTGGAAAGAGAGAGAGAGAGAGAGAGTGAGCTCAAGGCGGGGGGGTGGCAGAAAGAGACGGAGACAGAGAATCCAAAGCAAGCTCCCTGCTATTAGCTCAGAGCCCATTTCGGGGCTCTAATCCACAAACCATGAGGTCATGACCTGAGCCAAAGGCAGATGCTTAACTGACCAAGCCCCCCAGGCGCCCCAAGCGGCTAAAATATTTTTAAATTCCACTCAACATTTACTGTGTCATACTTCTTCTTACTAAACAGCTCCTATACATGATTTCACTTTTTCCGTAACAAAATTAGGAGGAAGGTACTATTAGCCCACTTCCCGGTACAGGACGCCAAGGTGCAGTAGATAAGTGACTTGCCCAGGGATCTCACCACTAGAAAGCGGCAGAGTTGGGAACTGAAGCCAGGCCTTCCTGACACCGAGATTCCACTTAACCCAAAACCTACTCCCTGGCAGAGAAGAAGGGGGCCTTTGTGGCCCTGGGAGTGGGAGTGGGGCCCCCAGAGAGGCCAGCGGGGCTGACCCGGGCCTGACTTCTCCCTCCAGGGCATCCTGGGGTCGGGGCTGGCACTCAAGGTACAGGAGCAGCACCGGCAGAAGCACTTTGAGAAAAGAAGGAAGCCGGCCGCTGAACTCATTCAGGTCTGTCCTCCTGGGGATAAGCCGGGTCGGGACTGAGCTCAGGTCTGTGGGGGGGCCGGGGGGCTGTGTGTTCTTGCACCACAGTGGGCGTGCCTGGGACTGAGGACAGAGCCCAGGACCGTGCTTGCTTGTGGGCGGCTATGGGCGTCCTGTCTGTGTGGCACCAACGTGACAGTCCCAACATTCTCCCATCCACGTTTGAAGACAAGCGAGAAAGAGACATGGGACTCCGAGAGGGACCAAGGCATCAGCTGTTTTACTAACCGTATTGGAAAATTTGACTCTGGGTCCATACTAGGCTTCTCCTCCTCCTACTTCCCACCCCTCTCCTGACCTAGGGACCCACAGGGAAGAGCAGACCTAGAGTCCAAGGACTTAGCTCATCAGCTACAAGGAAATGTGGCCCCTCACATCTGCCAGTGAGGGAGAACCCGTGAGCCAAGACAGAAAGAGATGCCTTACGTGTGCCCAGTATGGGACAGCGGGCCGTTGGTCCTGCCCAGTAGACCATCATGCATCAGTGGATGTTGGACGCCTGCCAGATCCATCACTCCTGCCCTGTGGGCTGGATGTGGGGAGAATAGTGAGAGGTGGGGAGAAGGGTAGACGTGTTCCCGCTGAAACCTCAGAGGGAGATTCTGCTTCATGGTGTTGTGGGTTGTTGGGAGCACAGAGAAGAGGAGGGTGGAGTCCCCCGACTACAGCTACGTGGGACCGAACGTGTGCCTACCATGAACCTGTGTTACGGTGTACCCTCGTGTATGGATGGTCTCTGCAGGTCTGTGGGTCTGACACCAGATGGTACACGATGTTATTCTACGTAGTGAAGAGTCCAGGCCAGTCCCAGTCTCTAAGCGTCTGTTCCGTTACCCCCCAAGCCCCAAACCATCATGGTATTCCTGAAGTTCTAGTATATTCGAATCAAAACCTCATCTCCCAGGCCGTCTCTTGCACCCAAAGTGGCACAAAGATAGTGTGCACCCTCCTACCTGTTTGAGAAGTCTCAGGGAGTCTTGCAGCCAGAGTGAACCCTGCTCCTTCTGGGGATTTTATGCCCAGCCCCCTCCTCTCCTTCCTTCGCATTTCTCCACACCCCGATGGCCCCAGTTATGACTCCAAGATGGTGGGTCAGGGAAGGTTTTCTTCCCCAAGGAGCTACAAAAAGCCAGGAAGCCTGGCTTCTCTGGATATTACCTCAATTGCATATTTAAACTCTTAAGAGTCAGGGGCTTCACAAATGTTTTAATGCTGTGGGATTCTGTGTGAGTGTTTCAGTGCTGTCCGGTCATTCCAGCCCCTCCCTTCTCCTCCTCAGGCTGCCTGGAGGTATTATGCTACCAACCCAAACAGGATTGATCTTGTGGCAACGTGGAGGTTCTATGAATCAGTCGTCTCTTTTCCGTTCTTCAGGCAAGTGACCACCTATCTGAACGCTCAGGGTGTGACTGACCATCCCCGCCGTGGGTCTGTGTTTGTGCCTGTGGGCTCCGTAGTTTCTTGGAGAACAGGGCTTGGTTCCCAGACTGCGCCACACATTCGAATCACCTGGGAGCTCAAAAAACTCCCCCAGTTCACGGGCCACACCCCAGGCTATTTGATCAGAAATGCCAAGAGTGGAGTCCAGGGATCAGTACTTTCTTAATGTGTATTTATTTTTGAGAGAGAGAAAGAGAGAGTGCAAGGGGCAGAGGGAGAGGGAGAGAGAGGATCTGAAGCAGGCTCCGGGCTCTGCATTGATAGCAGAGAGCCTGATGCAGGGCTCGAACTCACAAACCGTGACATCATGACCTGAGCTGAAGTTGGATGCTTAACTGACTGAGCCACCCAGGGCCCCCCAACATCAGTAATTTTAAAGCTTCCCAGGTGGCCCCAGTGTGCCACCGGTGGTTACCAACTGGACAGTGTGGAGGGGCTGAGAAGAGAAGGTTCGATCATTGTTTGAGCAGGGCCGGGGTCTGAGGAAGTGGGAAGCCCGGGCAGTGGGCCTCGCTCACAGTTCTGGATGCTTCCCCTGCCTGGCCATGGCCTGTACACCCACAGACCGTTCTAGATGCTGGGAACAGGCAGGCGGAAAAAGCAGCAGGAGGAACCCTCCAATGACCCAGAGGTGTCGTTTTGTGTTCTTAGAGGCGGTAGATTAAATTAAAGGCCTCGGGGTGGGGGGGGGGGAATGAAAAGCGTTGCCCACAGCCAGCACCTGTAAAAAGGACGAGAGAGAAGTTAATAATCACTAGATATCCAGTCCATCCAAGGTATCCGAGTCCATACTTCAATCAGCCCTCCCAGGCAGCCTAGGAAGCAGGCCAGAGGATCCCAAATGTTAAGAGGCATTAAAATCCGTGGAGGGCGGATGTCTGGGTGATTCACTTGGTTGAGCATCTGCCTTCGGCTCAGGTCATGATCTCACAGTGCATGAGTTTGAGCCCACGTTGGGCTCTGTGCTGACAGCACAGGGCCTGTGTCTGGTGTTCTGTCCGCCCCCCTCTCTCTGCCCCTCCTCTGTTCACACTCCCTCTCTCTCAAAAATAAATAAACATTAAAAAAATCAGTGGAGGGCTTTGGGAGCTCGGGTCCTATACCCGCCTCCAGCCATTTCCATGGTGCTGGCCTAATAAAGCATCTTGGACAGATGCCCCAAGGCGAGTCCGACAGAGTGGCTCACGGTCTCCTCCCGGCGACAGGCTGAGTGGTCAGGTCACCAGGCTCCTCTCACAGGGGGGCGAAGCTGGGGCTCAGAAGCTTGGGACATTTTGGCCCATGTCTGCCACGTCAAGAAGCCCCCAAAGCCCGTGATCTCTTCACCGCCTGGGCTACTGAAACAGACTGTGCTTCTCCAGGGTGTAGACGCTGCCGTCCTGAGCCGGGAGTTTACGCGTGTGGAAGGAATGCAGAATTGCTGTCGGATTCTTGGTTGGGAGGGAGAGTAGAGGGACCCCGAGCCTCACCCCTGAGCTGGGCCCTGCTCTGAAGCCCGTTTCTGCCACAGGCCTTTGGTTTCAGGGATTCTAGTGCGACCTGATCACAGCCAAGTGGCCCTCTCGGTCCCCATCCCACCCACCCACCTATCATGGGACCTGCAACCAGTGTCAGAACCCAGCCTCACATATCCCCTCACCCCTATCGCCAGATTGTGGTACAGATTTACAGAAATTCAAGAGACCTGGGTTCTTCTGGCTCGTTTCCCTGCATAAAACCTTCCAATGGATGACCGTGACAAGGAGAATAAAGTCCAAAATCTGACCGTGAGCTGCAGGGCCCTGAAAGCTGACCCCTGCTTGCCTTCCGTCTCATTCCTGCAGAGGCCATAGTGGCAGGTGCAGCTTTCTACTCCGGGCATCCAGTCCACCAATCACAGGTGACCAGCAAAGGAATCTAAACTTGATCCTGAGGGCAGAGAGAAGCCGCTTGAGCCCAAGGATGGCATGATCAGATCTGTGTTTCAGGAAGATGACAGGAAGGGTGTGGAGGCGGGCTGGACAGGCTCGGGATTTGAGACAAGGGACCGGAGAGCGAAAGAGTGCAGGATTCAGGGTGAGAGCCAGCCGGGGCCTGGCCCAAGGTAGATGCTTCAGGAGGACGGTGGGTGGAGGACCAGAAAGGGAATAAGAAGAGGGGGATATCTCAAGGAGTTACGACTGGCAAAGGAGTCAAGGGGATGGAAGAATCAAGGCTTCCAGAAACCAGCGATGAAGCTTGGGTTTCTAGGCTGCATCTTCTTACCTGTCATTAGATCCTTTGGCTCAGGTGATGGCCTCTGAGGTTTCCTTTGATTCTAAAATTCTGTTTTTGCCATCATCATTTTGGGTCGGGGATGACATCAGTTTTCTTTTGGATCACAAGAGCCTTCGCAGGGGCAGGCGGCCTCCCTGGTAAAGGACAGAGTGACCTTGGACTTGGAGACGATGTGCAACCACACTGAGCTCAGAACCAAGATGCTTTCTGTTTGCTGGGCAGCCCCAGGTCTTGGCAACAGGCCTATTCTTTTGGGTTGATTTATTATAAATAAGGCATTGTCCTGGCTGTCAGAGACTCAGAGGAAGATGCTGTGTTGCAGGGCTGCTGTGATAGGGGAATGGCTTTTAAACTGAGAGAGAACACTTCTTTCTTTCATTCTTTCAAGGACAAAAGTATAAAGTCACTAGCAAGACTTAGCAAGTCCAACCAGAGTCACTTAGCAACCGTTCTGAAACAAGGCAGTCCCTTGGGAAAAAAATGTCCCTGAATGCGAACCCCCTCCATACGTTCAGCGGTAAAGGTGATAATTCATTGGTGTGTCCTCACCTGTCCCCTATAGGTTTTTGTCTCTTGTTTATGCTTTAAAAACATATTGAGGTATGTTTCATATGCTGTAGGAGGGTCTCACACTAAAAAGTACCCCTTGAAAGTAAACAATTTAGTGGTTTTTAGTGTAGTCACCAAGTTGAGCATTCATCACCAACTGTCTCATTCCGGAACATTTTATTGCCCCAGAAAGAAACCCTAAACCCATTAGGAGTTACTCCGCTCCTCCTTTGCCCCAGCCCCTGCAAGCTCTTGCCTATTGTCTGTCTCTATTCTACCTATTCTGGACTTTTCATATAAAAATGAAATCTCATAATATGTGGTCATTTAAGTATGGTTTCTTTCACTTGGCATGTTTTCAGGTCTCATCCAGGTTGTCCTATGTATCAGAAATTGATTCCTTTGTATGGACGAGTAATATTCTATTACAGACGCTCTGTTTTGTTTATCCATTCATCAGGTGACACACATTTGGGCAGTTTCCACTTTTTGGCCATTATGCTGATGTACTCGTTGTGTGGACATAAGTTTTCAATTCTCTTGGGCTTATACCTGGGAGTGGAATTGGTAACCCTCTGTTTAACTTCTTGAGGAACCGCCCGACTGTTTACTGTGGTGGTGGCATCATCTTATATTCCACTGAAAGACTTGGAAGAATGATGATATTTAGGGGCGCCTGGGTGGCTCAGTCGGTTGGGCAGCTGACTTCGGCTCGGGTCATGATCTCACAGTCCGTGGGTTCGAGCCCCACGTCGGGCTCTATGCTGACAGCTCAGAGCCTGGAGCCTGTTTCAGATTCTGTGTCTCCCTCTCTCTCTGCCCTTCCCCGTTCATGCTCTCTCTCTGTCTCAAAAATAAATAAACGTTAAGAATGATGTTATTTAGCCCAGCCCTAGGAGTGGGGCCGTATCAGCGTTTCCGGCTCAGTGCAGTCCTCTATGAATTCGCAGGATATATCTGTTTAGGCCTAGCGCTGATGGATGATGGTATTGCCTTTTTGGTTTTTATTTTCTGTTACTATTTAAAATTGTAAACTCATCGCTTCTGAATTAGAAAGAACTTCAGAGGGCTATGAATCCAAGCCCAGATCTTCTGATTTATTGGCCCAGGGAGGCTGTGTCTCCTTAGTGCACGTAGGCAGTGGGAGTCTGAGACGGTACGGGGAGGACCTTAGGGGATGCTGGTTGTACATTGTTATGTGCAAGCACAGATGAGGGCAGACATTAGAAACTACATGTCGAGGCACCTGGGTGGTGCAGTCGGTTAAGCGTCCGACTTTGGCTCGGGTCATGATCTCACAGTTTGTGAGTTCAGAGTTTGAGCCCCACATTGGGCTCTCAGCTGTCAGAGCAGAGCCAGCTTCGAATCCTCTGTCCCCCTCTCTCTGCACTTTCCCCTCCTCCCCAAATAAATAAACATTAAAAAATTGAAAAAAAAAAAAAAAACCCTTACATGTTGCCTTCCATTGACAGGGAACCTGCATACCATTTGGTTCCCTAAAGGCAGTGGTAGAATTATCTACGGTACATCTGTGCCAATGTGGTCCCCCTAGCCAGATGTGGCTTTTGAGCCTCTGTCTGTTACTCATGCAATTGAGGAATTACATTTTCGATTTTATTTCATTTCAACTTAAATAGTCAGATATGACCAGTGGCTACCATATTGGACATTGTAGCTCTAAAATCATTAGACATTAGAACTAAAATGGAGATAAGACTTAGGCCCCACAGGTAGAAGCCTCTTGACCAAGAAGACCCAGTTAATTTTATGTATAACCAGAACCTTTTCCTTTTATGACCAGCGGCAAGATCACTAGAATGCTTAGCAATGGAGAAGGGGGACATATCCAGTCATCCTTCCCTTTGGCCAAGTAACATGGGTCCACTTTCATACATGCTAAGTCATTGAGTCTTTAGAATGCCCTGGAAGAGCAGAAGAAGAGGTAACTCCATTTTCATGTGCAAAATATTATAGGTGAAGAATCCAGAGCAACAGTGAGGTTCATTAGCTTGCTCAATGTCGCCCCCTAGTAAGTAAAGAGGCGAACCCAGGTCTTATGCCAAAGCCCATTGTTATCTCTGGGAAGACGGAGTTTTTCAGGGAGAAAATTGGGTAAAAGTAAGATGAGACAAGGGTTACTGGGACAATAATACCTATTTCTGAAGACTCTTGTCGTGAAGGTCAAATTGAATAGGATGTGTGGAAGCACCTTTTACAGCACCTGGTTTACAGCAGGTGTTCAGTCTCCTCTGGTTGGATCTGGCCCAGAAGGAAGTATTGGTGTTACAGCAGGAAACGAAGACACTAAGAACCCATAGGAAGCCACTGCTAGTGACCACAGGGCTGAAACACCCTGTCTGGAATGTGGTTACAGATCTTTTATTTCTTTATCCCATTCATTCATTCATTCATTCATTCATTCACCAAGCCTTTACTGAGCCTCTCTCAAGTGCAAGTATTGTGTTTGGCATTGGGGATGTAACCGGCAACAGAAAGGGGTCCACTGTGCTGATTCTGTCGCAAGGTTGATGGAGACACGAATGGGGAAGTGGCCCCTGGATGTTTATCGTTTGGGGGTTGTTGGAGCCTTGAAGCCACTCAAGGCTCACAGGGAATAAAGAGTGACATGAAATGAGCATGTGGGGACAGGAAGTGCACATGACAGCTGGAGAGTAATGTGGGGCCAGGGCATTTTCCTTGACAGGAAGGGTCTAATGGAGAGGGATCAATGTGGATATGGGGGGAAGGAGAAGGACTGGAGGAGAGAGCAGGCAGAGATGTGGGTTCTGAAGCACGAGTGGAGGATGGGCACGAGTGGAGTGTGAACCTGCATCCGTGTGCTCAGAAGGAAAGCCCAGGGCGCAGGGCCAGGTGTATGTGGCTGCTGACCTGGTGATGGGACATGGGGAAGCTCTCTCTCGGTGAGAAGTGAGTCAAATTCATAGCCTGGGAGGGAAGCCAGAGGTGGGAAGTGTGACGATAGAGATGGCATGGAATCCTTGTCTTGGAGAGTGAGGAAGAAATGGGGGTGGGGGGCTCTGTCTCTTTAACATTGCTCCCCATGGCACCCCAGCGCACCTCTTGGCCTCCACCCACCCCCCACCCTTTTCTTCTCCTCTCAATGTTCTCCCCACCTCCAGAGTCAGACATCCAGAGCATTCTAGAAAAGCAGAGCGCTTTCTGTGCACACGCTTCAGGCAGAGAGATGGGCCCAGAGGAAGTGACCTGCCCAAGGCCACCTGGGACTCCACCTGGGAGCTGAGCCCTGAGCTGGAAACCCCCCAGCTGGTCCCTCTGCTTCTCTGCCATGATGCTTCGTATTCTCTCCCCATTTCTCCCATAGTCCACTTATTCATTCAGTATTTATTGTGCATTTACCATGTGCCAGGGTATTGGGTGCTCAGATGGCAGGGCTAGAAACGACAGAGGGCCTGCTCCAAGCAGCTCACAGACTACCAGGCAATTATAAAACAGTGTGATCAGAGCACAGTGCCGTGTGCAAAGAGATTCAGCCTAGACCCTGGGGCTTTGGGTAAGAAACTCCAGGAGGGACCCCTCTGGCTGGAATTTGAAGAATTAGCAATACAGTTCTGGGCAGAGCCTGGGCAAAGGCTCAGAGTCTGGAATGTGTGCATACCCCACATGGCCTCGTGGTCAGGACGGTGGGCTTCCCCTGGGTTGGAAGCCTGAGTCTGCTACTTCCTACTCCTTCCTACTTCTGCTACTGTAAGACCTTGAACAGCTTTCTTAACCTCTCCGTGCTTTAGTTTTGTCAGCAGGGAAATGGGAACGATAATACCACTTCCCTCATAGAGTTGTTTTGAGGATTAAATGAGTCGATCTATAAAAATAACTTAACATGGTATCTGCCTAATAATTATTGCTCAGTAAATATTAGCGATGATGGTGGTGAGGTCGACTATGATGGCGTGGTGGTGACAGAGCGATGGGGTGTGTGGCTGCTGAGTGACGAAATTCCAGGTTTCCTGGCCTGTCCCCACCGCTACACAAATCCCCTGAGCCCAGCACAAGGCCTGGGCCAGAGGAAGTGCTCAGCAGCCATGCTCTGGGTGAGGAAAGGAACAGCGGCCCGGAAGAGGCCCGAGAATGCAGAGCCACACCCTTGCGGCAGGGCCTGGGGTCTGGCTGGGGAAACCCGTTCCCCTTCACTGGGTCCCAGGCGCGTTCACCGTCTTGTCCTACAGCTCCACTGAGCACCGCCATCTTTGTCAAAGGGAAGCTTCCGGCACATTGTGGGGAGAGGGGAGGCTGTTCGTGTAATTTACACTCTTTATGTTTTTCTTTCTCATCCCCTCCTAGGAAAGAACAGCTGGAAGCTGCAGCCAGGTACGTTTCTGATCACGCATCGCCTTCTTCCCACCACCATGGCGGGACAGAGGGTCCGGTTCAATATGGCGGAGGGCCCCGGGGCAGCATGCCGGTTATGAGGCAGAGTTCGGGGCTCGCTGCCGTCGCTGACCACCATATTCCTCTGCCGTTTCCATGTGAATTTACTCAAGGACAACTCAGCTGTGATCACAGCCACAGCCACTTAGTGAGCAAGACACAGTTCTGTGCCTGGAGTCCCGCCTATGTTTGTCTCATTTCGTCCTCACAACTGCAGTGTAAGACAGTCCCGGGTACCCCCGGTTGTGGGTTGAGGTTGAGGCTCAGAGAGTTTGAGTTATCCCTCTTGGGTCACACAGCTCTTGAGAGGCAAGAGCAACATTCGGACTCAGGTCTGACTATTAAGACCACATTCTTTCCATTAGATATTGCTTCATTTGCTTCTTGGGTTCACAGACGGCTCCTCAAAAAGTGAATCAAGACTGTAATTCATGATCCCCAGTAAACCATGCTCACTACAGACTGCTGCAGAGGCAGGTTGGGCTTCTGGATTATGAGCACTTGTGTGCCCCTCCCTTCTCTCTCCCTGTCAAGAAGATGTCACAATATCAGGGACACTGTGGACCCTGCTCGAGACTGTAAAGAAAAAAAGATACCTCTCACAAACGTCAGTTAAGTTATATATTTATAAATATAAATAACTATAAATACAGATGTCATTTAATCTGTTATGTTGAGCAACTACTTGTGAGGCCTTGCAGTCTCCTGGACACTAAGTTCAACATCTGTCCTTCTAGAACTGACAGAATTCAGGTAGAGAGGGTAACAGGACCCTGGGCCACATGATAGGGGGAATACTTGAAGACAGTGACCTTTGGGAGGCTGAGTCAAATCCTTTTGAATGGAGTCCATGATGGGGCCCCATCCCAGACATAATTCCTCTTGGGAGAAACAGTGACAGACACACCAGTTAAATCACATACAGAACAGCTATGACTTCCTGGCTCTTTTGTGCGTGTTTTCGAAAGGATGGAGTGTTTCTTGCCTGGACCTGGTTTGGACTGTAGGGACGTTGGGGGAGATGGTAGAGGAGGGCAGGAATGAATGACAATGACCACGTCAGGGGACATTTGCTAGAGCAGCTGCGGCAGGTCACAGAGGCAGGCGGGAAGACCTCAGATATCTTCTCCCAGATACATGTGTAGAAGCCGAGGCGCCCTTCGTAGAAGAGGGCAGACTCACCCCAAATTGCGGGTCTCAAGACTGCCAGAGGGGTACTTGTCCTCTCCTCTCGTGACCAACAGGGTTTTGCATCCTGCATCATGCAGGCATTGACGCTGTAAGTGAATTGCCACATCCACCTGAGAGCCTTTTCTATACAGACCGAACAAGATTCAGCCAAATTGCATTGGATTATGCGCTTCCGGCTTCATGAGAGCCTGGGTAGATGCCTTCTGAGGCTTTGCTAGGGATGCCGCCCCGGTCCTCAGAAAGGGGCTGTCTGGAGTCTCAGTAAGCTGTTCATGCGCCTCTCCAGAGCTCTGTTAGGGATGCAGAAGGAAAACGTGTTTCACGATTTCTCAGGGTGAGAGTTCCCAGGTGTTTGCTGGCTCATCCTCCCCGGGGAAGAAGAACGAGGTCAGTTACATAAGCCACTCGGTCCCCCTCATCCAGGCTCAGGCACAAATATTTTGGGTTTGCACAGCAAACGGGTTGGCTGACAGATTGACAGGTGAACTACCAGGTGTGATTACAGCCGGGAGGCCAGGCGTGAGACCTAGAGGATGTTACAGGTGAACTGTCGATGGAGACATCAATTCCCTGACCCCAGAGGGCAGGGAGCAGGGTGAGAGAGTGGTCAGCAGTGGACACGTGCATGCGACGTTTGCTCACTGATGGCCATTTTCCACCTTTGTGTTAGCGTCTTCAACAAGTTTCCGGCTAACTGGTGTTTCAGTCTTACTCATTGCTTTTTAAATAGCCAAAACCAGATTGGAGTTCATCTCCTTGTCCCCTCCAAGCATGGGTGGTCCACACTTCTGTTTATTTGTTGGGCTGATATAAGTGTTCTGTTCTCTGTGACTTAACATATCTCGGTTCTGCATTGGAATAAGAAAAAGGAAGTTCGTCAACTTAATGGAAAGAGCTCAAGCCCATGGTTGCTCACTAAGCCTGTCCCCCCACACACACCTCAGAGCGTCGACACAGAGATGAGCTTCTCTAGTGCTGAGGACGGGGCCACGTTGACTGCTTTGATTTGTGCAGACTTGTTTGAGGAACCTTGGTCCCACTGACTTCCTACAATGGCTGGGAGGTTGGCTTGGATCATTTTATGCTTCTCGGGATCCGTGATTCTGAGGCTAATCAGAAGGAAGAGAACCAGCTTCTGTTGTGGGCTTATGAGGAGCTGAGCACTTTTCCTAGGTTGTCTTAATTAATTCTTATAAAAAAAGAGGCAGCTGACACACACACACCCTCACCCCTTTGTACCACTCATGGTGCCCCAGGTAGGGCTCAGAATTTCCCTATGAAAGCTTTTGTTTTGTATTTAGTCAAAACTAGATCTCTCGTCCTCTCTAGACCATGAGCTAACACGGAGCCTGAAGTATATTTGCTGAACGAATAAATAAATGACTTAATGAAGGGAGTTTTGTACCATCATTTTACTTGTGTAGAGACTGAGCTCAGGCATTTAGTTAACTAGCACCTTAGCCAAGCACAGAAGTAGCCAAGGTGGGGATTTGGAGGGTCGGTCTGTGTGACTGGACCAGATCGTATCAGGCTGCGGCCCACTGCGGCACATTGGATTGCCATGCCCTCCTGTACCCAGGGGTAGAGCGTGAGCTCAGTGAGTCTCACAGACACATGAACTTGGCATTTGTTCCCTGTTGGCCAGGATCTCCTATCTCATCTTTTCATATAGCTCAGTCCTTCACTTCACTTGGGACTCTGTCTAATGTCACCTCCTGAGAGAGCCCCTCTTTGACCCTCTACCCACACCCCATCAGTCTCTATGCCCTTAATCCTACTTCATTATCGTTGTTAGCATTGATGACTATCTAATATACTATGTATTTGTTTCTCGTTTGCCTTCTGTACTAGATAAAATGCCTCCAAGGGGTTAGGCTCTGTTTTGTTCACTGCATTATCTCTGGCACCTAAAACAATGCCTGGAACACAGCCTGAGACATGGTTAGCTTTCAAGAGATATTAACGCACTGAAAAAAGTGGGTGGGTGAATGGGTGGATGGATGGATGGATGGACAAACTCTTATTCTACAAGTGTCATAGACACAGTCGAAACTGCGTTGGACTAAGAGGGAAATGAAATGGTTCACACAGTCACCCAACGAAGAGGGTGAGATCCCCAGGAAACAAGGAATGGAAGTCTGGAATTTCTCTTTTCCTCTCTCATCCCCACTTCTCCTTTCTGGTCTCACTCTCTTGTTGCCCTTCTGCATACTGATGACGATGCGGATGCAAGCAGCCCCATGACCACCTGTTTTTCCCTCCTTCTGTATCTGTCCTTCACTCAACTCCAGTTTGAGAAACCCCAGGGAAGCACTTAGATTGGCCTAGTCTGGGTCACATACTCATGCCTCGGACAATCTGTGTGACCCAGAGAGAAAGAGGCTACTGCTGGCCAAACTCTGGGTCCTGTATCCACCTGTTAGTGTGGGTTCAAGATGCTATGATTGACAGCTCACAGTAGAGTCACTTGCTTGAAGTTGGCAGGAATCAGTACCCCAGCAGAACAGTGTCCTTTTCCCCAGCGTATCGGGGACGAAACACAAAGCAGACAAATACGAAGCTGCCCATGACAGGCATAAATTCCACCTGAAAATTTTCAAGTGCCTAAAAATAATACTGCATTAAAGAACATCAACAAAAGACCATACTGAGGCTCATTTATTCTATGGATGATTCCAGAAAAGACTGGTAGTTTATGGTAGGAACATCGCTTTAAACATCAATTGCAACTATTCAGTAGACATGCAGCAGAGCCGATAATTAGAGGCATTTGTCTCATAGAAAATCGTGTTTTTGTGAATTTTCAAAACAGGTAACTGTGTTGACAGCAACTGCTTGCTTGAGCCATACTGTTTACTTTGTATTTTCAAACAATTCAATCTGAACAGCGGCGTCCGGGACTCGGCTCTTCTGTAGCCATCTTTGGAGAGGGAGGATGTTCATCCGAGCCATCTTCTTTATCTCCTATCTTGTTATATCCTTCCCATTGCAGAGCTCTCACATTTAGTAGAGGATCATCCTTTGAGTCAGAGAATTTAAATACAATCACAAGAATTTATGAAGAAGGCTTACTGCTTGCCAGGTAAAGTTCTCAGCACATTTAGCCCTCATAGCTGCCCTGATAGGGAAGATAACTATTTTGAATCTCTTTTTTTATGGATGAGAAACCTGAGGTTCAGAGAGGCAAGTGATTTGCACACGGTCCTGCAGCTAGACGGTAGCAGGAACAAAACTGGATCTGGTTCATCTGGCTCCGTGATGTGTGGACCCAGCCACTCGGCTGGTAGTTTCAAGTCATTGGGAACAGTTAGGTAACTGTACTCAGTCACCGCGGGTGTCCCCTTTGGCTTGTTTTGTTTTCTTCTACTCTTCCTTGGCTCTCTGTGGCTGGAGTTCCTGCCATGAGAGGAGGTATATTTCACACGTTACTTCCTCCCTGTGATGTTGGCCCCATGAAATTGATCTCACAGGGTGACAGATGATGTGGGCAATAAATCTCTTTCCACGCCCTAGAATCGAAGACTGTTAAAGGTACGCAGGAATTTAGAGATCAGTGAATCCAATCCCCTAATTTTACTGATGGGAAAATTGTTACCGAGAGCAAAATAAGAGTCTTGGACACAATTCCATAGCTATTAATATTTTGTCCCGCTGTGCAGCCCCTGAAACACTGGTCCCAGGCTGCAGAGTAAGACTTGGACCAATTTCGTTTAACCCCAGAGTGATCCCCAACATGCCCTGAGGGCTTA